ACAAGAAAGCTGCACTCCGAAACTCATTGCCTTCTTTTCACTGCCAACTGGTTTCGAGTGAGTTGGGATGATATTCACCGAACTGCCTTCCAACAACACTCGGAAACAAATCCCAAAAAGCCCTGAGTGTTGGCAGAGAAAAGAATCTAGGAGGACTGAAATGTCCATCTGAGCGGGAAGCTGTCTGGATACAGCCGTGGAGCTACGTGAGACCGAAAGAAGCTCGAAAGGCTCATGCGTCGCCTATGAGCCGGTGCGAACTTGGCGGGGAGGTCACTAAGGAAATCCCATCGACTCAACAAGTCGGCATCTGCGTTAAGCGGCCCTGGAATGTGTGACACATCGCAAGTCAATCTTTCAGAAACTAAAATGTAAGCAAGGTGCTCCACGAAATGGCAAAGCGGAGTGGATGTGGTGAATAACTTGTTAATCGAAGTTTCTGCTGCTACGTTGTCGCTTAAGCTCTGGAAGTGGAGGGGTATGCAAACAGTGGGACATACTGCAAGGTACAGCAAGATCAGGAAACCCTGTGCTAATGTTTCGTAGCATGCGATGTCCCGTTGTGCGTCCGGCCGGACGGGGACATCAAATGGTTTAAGATCAAGAACCGTCCAACCCTCAGAAAACCAAAATACAAGATGAATGATTTCGATGAGACCACCCACTTGGAAGCAATCTCCGGACGCTGAGGCATCAGCTGAAGCTCGGACGCTCACCTGAATCGGCGAGCGCATACTGCGGAGAGGGGCGGAGAGTTTGAGCCAATCAAGCCACAACTTCAGGACTCTCCTGCTGTGGACCGAAAGCTTTCGGTGTTGGGATAATGAAGCCACAACCGACGGTCTGTGAGACGGACGGATTCTACTTCCTGCAGGGTCTGAACGGGGGTGTGGCGAACTGAAATCAGTTTGGATTGAGGTGGAATGGCTGTCCCTTGTGGAGTACACAAAAAGCTAAGGTCGTCTGCCAGGCATGATTTGACCAACCGGGGTTGACACTGTAGTGTGTTGCAGGGCAACTACGCAAGTCTGAAAAGAGCCAATGCAACAAAGCTCTGAAGGGTGGGAACAGGTGTGTGACCCAAAGAGCCAGGCCTGTGAACTTTTCAAGTTGCTTGCTGGTGCACTGGCGATGTTTGAGCATTTCTTCAATTTGTGCAATCAGTTTGTCTTGTTTGGCTGGATGAAGGCTTACTATTCCGTTGTAGAAATTGAATCTCCAGCCGATCCAATCGATCAGTGGTCCGAGTGTACATGTACGCAAACGCGACAGAAAATCGCTAACAAGGTGGCGAACACAGGAAGTACTGTTTGAGATTGGGTAAGCAGGAAATCATCCACAAACAACCAAAGGCCGTGTTGAACCCAAATGAGTCTATGTAAAATGCGAACGAGCCATGCACCCAATCGACCCCACCAAAAGGCACTAAAGGTGGCTCCAAAAGGGCAGACCTTGTAAAGGAAAATGCGTTTTTGGAATGTAAAGCCTACCAGGCCTCGATGATGTTCGGCCAAAACGATTCGTTTATGTGCGGACTTGACGTCAAATGTGGCTGCATGCTGGGGCTCCGAACAATTGCGTAGCGGGAAACTCTCTAGCACGTCACGAGCGGATGGATAGCACTGGCGCTCAGGAATCCAACAATTTTGATTGGTATTACAAATACTGCTATCTAGGACCAATCGGGGTGGTCGGGAGTCTGAAAAAGCAATGCCAAGCTTACCCAATCCGACTCCGCATGGGCGCTGTTGTGAAGCCTCTGCTTCATCACCTTCAAATTCAAAAATCCAACCCTGGTCGATTTCAGTTTGAAGCAACTCAGCAGTGAGTTCTGGGTAATCCTCACTAGATTTCCAATTCCCTTGATGGAGCTGGAGTGATGGGCTCTCAAGATCCGGTGTCGTATCTTTGGTCCAAAAGACTCCGCTAGGACGGATTGGATCGTCTGAGGTACCGGCTGAAACTCCTGAAATGAGGCAGTCAAATAAGAGGCTGTCAGGGTCTTGCAATTTTTGGCCAAGAGCACTCAAAGCTGTAAGACACATCGGCTGTTCGGATCGGACGGACCAATCCACTGGCAGCCAAGAGGAAAACAAGTCCCGAAACTGATTGATGCAGTCGTCAGAAAAAGGTGGGTTGGGGCGTTGTTGTTCCATGTGGACTAAAAATTCTTTGCGCAGGCCCTCCTCAGTCTTAAGTTTGGAAGATGGAGCTTTTCAAGGCTGCTATGCCCTTCGAGAAGTAGTGGCCCCAGGCTGTGTCCAGTTCAGTCGAAGAGTGTTTGCGGAGTGCTGCTCTCTCAGTCGAATTGGTGTTAGCCAAACGGCAAATGATGACAATGTCCTGGCGCCAGGAGCGCAGTTGGGCCGATACGTTTTCGAGAGCTGTCTCACGCTTGCATCCATCACCTTTGCAATGGACCAAACCAATAAGGCAAGAGCGCTGCCAGAGGGAGCATTCTGCGGGTCGGGTCTGGAAACACTCTGCCTCCCAAGCGACTTTCACAACATCGGCCCCCGGGCTTGTGAAAACTGCAAGCGACTGGTAGAAGTCAACCTTATGAGCACAGATATCACAGCCCTCCTCACATCCACCTTCGCTCACTGCGTGGCCATGACTAATATTTGGCTGCCGCCACGCTTAACGCAAATCGGTGAGGAAGCTTTCCTCAGCTGCATAGCGCTCCAGGAAGTGGTCATTCCGACCGAGCTCCAGGAAATCGGCATCCGTGCATTTTGTGGGTGTGAGCAGCTAAGAGTTTTTACTGTCCTTGACCTGGGGGAGAATGACCAACATGTACAAGCAGAGCACAATGCTTTTATGCTATGTGATAATTTCGAGCAGCCGTCATGGGTGGAGCTGCTACCCACCGAAGGACCGGATTCGGACGCATTTGATGAAGAGCTTTATACAGAATTTCCATGACTGTTAGGCATTTCATCAAGTCACCAAGGCGGGTGCCTTAGCACCAGTCCTGGTAGGCATCTGTCCGTCGTGCTGCCCTCTGGCTCAGAGAGTTAGGACCTATCACAAAGCAACAGCACAGTAAAGTAATATCAACTTAACGACACGCAGTTGGCTGCTCTGACACCCTCCATGGAGCCTGCCGAATCTTCTGGAGCCAGCACCCCCCCGGAGAGAGAGCCTGTGATGGAGTGTTGCTTAGTGCTAACTACTCTGTCGGGAGTGACGCTCAATGTCTCTCTCAGCATTGCCAAATTCGACCGTTTTGCGGACTTGGAGGATCATGTTATGGATTACCTCATTTCCGTGACTGACCTCAAAGTGTTTGGATGCTCGATCGAATTTTTGCACTTGGCCACACAGACTTATTTGGAAGACCCGATTTGGGACAGACTGCAACAGAGTAAGGAATACTGCATCATTTTCAAGGATTGCAGTGAATTCC